GGTCTTTTCCAACCTAGCTGATTTTATGATTAGGAAAAAAGTTGCTAAGAACTTCCCCTTCCTCACTTACTGTCATGGCTCAGCACTTCTGTGGGAATGAAAGTGGCCCAGATGTATGCGTACGCATTTTCCGTGGGTTTCTCCCAGGCTTTGTACAATATTCCTAAATGTTCCTAGGTTTCTCGTGCAGTCGACTGTTGTCAGCATTGGATGTATGAAAGTCTTAATACAGAGAAATATTGCACCCAGCTGCAAGGTTGAGCAGCTAGGAGATAACAAGATGTTCAAGGTGTGGAGGTCTGTCAGGTAGAGCTTCTCCTCCTTGCTCTGGCCAGCCTGGACTTGCGGACTTTCTTCCTTCCCACTTCTTACTCAGTTCACTTCCTCATCTTGTTATCTTTTCTTAGCTCACCTTCAGGTGATGTGAAATCTCCTGTATAGACAGAAAAACTACTTTTGACTGGTAAAAGGTTTAAGCACCTTGTTCAGTGTAGGTGAAGCCTTTTTAAAACAGAGAAAAATCAGCCTTTTTAGGTAGGGCAAGTTCAAGAAGAAAAGATGTGCCCTTCCTCCCTTTTCTGCACTGGTGACTGAATCCCTCTATTAAATTTTAATATCTCTTTTGTTTTTAGTTATTTTCTTCAGGATTTGTGGAATCTGAAGAGTATAACCCAGATAACCTGGATCTAAGGTTTGATGTGGCATCAGTGTTGAAAGAACTCAAGAGAGGAAAGCGGCTGGTAAGGAGTCTCTCTCTGAATCTGCACTTAGTCCTGTCTCAGAGTACTGAAGGTTGTCTGGCCAGTTTATGTTTGGAAAAAAAGTGAAGAAAAGTACTTACTGCTCTATTAAGATTGGGGAAATTACAGATTTAAGAGTTAAGAACATTGATTTGGCATTGCCCTTGGTGAAATTTAGTTAATTTTGTATTAAAATGTGTTGGGTATCTGGCCTTCAAGTCCTTAGTCTAAGTTTCCTAAGAGATTTTGGTAAAGGACTAAGCCAGTGCCTGAAACAAAATTATGCAGTTCATGAGTGTAAAGGGAAACACCTTCTTGGTTTTAGTCAAAGGAAAGTTATTTTTATGAGGTTTTCTTACTGGCTTTGTCTTCAGCTGTCTTCCTCCCTTACATCCTGGGTGGAACTCTTTCCATTACAAAGCCTAGAAAAATACACTAACACACTAAAAGCACTAATATTGAAAGACCTTGCGCAAGATTTAGAGAAGGGGGGAAATTGCCCAGTGCCCTCACATGATTATTTGCATCATTTTACAAATTCATCAGTATAAAATGGAGATAAGATAGCAAAAAGGTGGCTGAAATAACGACCAGGGTGGGAGGTGGCAGGAGTGAACTTTCCTGGTGAGTTACACAGAGGCAACTGCAACGAAAGGTTTGATTTTCCTGCAGTATAGCATTTGCCTTGTGTGGGAAGATTGTCAGGAGCTGTGTGCAATGCTTACCTGTGGAACCCCATCCTGTTCTAGGTGTGCAACTTCTGTCGCAAGAAAGGAGCCACTGTGGGCTGCGAGGAAAGGGCCTGTCGCAGAAGTTACCACTACTTCTGTGCCCTCTGTGACGATGCAGCCATAGAAACGGATGAAGTAAATGGAGTCTACCGGTATTTAACCAAGTATTTTCTAACTAATGATTGTCAGCGATTTGGTGGTGGTGTCAGGGAGAGAGGTGTCAGAATTGTGTGGTTTTAAATGTGTTTTTTAAAAGGAAATATGTTATCTTCTCTTGAAGTGATGCGTGATCCTCTGTTCACAAGCAATAGAGGAAATGTTTTCCTTTGAGAGGAAAATGTCACAGCAGTGTGGGAGGGAATTCAGTGTTTGAGTCTGCAACACACCTAAATGATCAGTAGGCCAAAGCCAAGGAAGTCAGTCCTTACTGACTAGCAAGCCAGTCTTCAGCGACCAAAGTTTTTACTAATGTTACTCAAACTCTCAATTTCTGTTGGCTCAGAAGCTTCATTAAATGTGGTCGAGGACAGAGCACTTCTGTATCTGTTCACATTAGGCAAATTCTGGTAGAGAACTTTGTATTCCCTCCAAACACCTTCTTCTATTTCAAATACATTGTTAGTATTAGCACAATTAACCAGACTTCAAGTAAACTTTCTGTCCTGACCATGCCTGGTCTCCACTGCCCTTGGGCTGCTTGCATTGCTGGTAGATGGAATGAGTTGTTTGGAGGCTGTAAGTGAAGGGGTTGAGAAACTGGCACTTTAGGGACCTTTTAAAGAGCTAAAGTTACAGTAAAGTCTGAGGTACATAAAACCCCTGATGTCTACCTCTGTGCAAGGTCAGAGAGATCACAGGCCATGTTAGTCCTAAACTAATCTGGTAGACCATCTAATCAGTACTTGTTTCAGGACAATGTGGACTGGTGCAATCCTTAGTAGCAGTGGAAGATGGGTCTTTTGTGTCCCTTGTGCTCCTGGCTGCTTCACTAGGGCTCTGAGTCCAAAATAAATAGGTCTTTCTGCAAAGCTGTAAGCTCAGCCTTATAGAGAAGATTATATGGTTAGTTTATGCTTATAAAGTCTTTGGGAGCTTGCAAAGCTCATGGAAATGTGTAGCTGGGGAGAAGGAAACTTCTGTGATGCTGAAAAATGAACGGGACTGATAACAGTCTAGATACAAACTGGAAAAGGAGTGGTTGAAAACATGGTTTGGTCTGGTGGGTTTCTGAGGTGGTGACTGGAGTTTTGGAAAAAGGACCTTTAAAAATACCTTATATTAAGTAGTTCTGAGACTGGTTGCTTGTCCTATATAGAAATACAGGAAAGTAGGCTATAGCAACCTGTATTGAAGAGATGAAAATGGACTAGCATAGAGAAAGATGGTGAGGCAGGTTTCAAGGATATGAAGCCGAAGACTTGTGCACAGTACCAGTAGCATAAATAAAGCACAAAGCCTGAAATTACTAGAGAGAAGATGAGTAAGACTTGAAAAACAGTGGATGGGGATTGAAAGCCCCCTGCGCTTTTTCATGGTGAAATATAACTTACTGAAAAGCATATCCAAAGAGAGGATTCCATCAAGAGAAGAGAGCTGGTGGGTTTAAATTCGGAGTCGCCGTTGTTGTGATGAGCAGCAATGTTTATCGAAACCAGGAGGCATATAGTGCTATAGAAGTGGCTACTAAAAGGAGAGGTGGAAAATTAGTGTAGTTTTTACTGCCATCCTGCAGAAATGGTAGTGGGGAAGTGCTTCCAAATAAAGTGGCCTGAGTACTAAAACATACTGTCTGTTCTACCTAAGGTGTTCTTGTACTTAGGAAGATTGTTTTTAACTGAGAAAGAATAGAATTAAAGGGTGTGAGGAAAAAGAAAACAACCTCCAAAAGGCACTATTAGAAATTCAGGAATTTAAATAAGGTGTCTCCTATACTCAGCTGTCTGACTGAATTGTTAGGCATAGATCTGGGTTTTTGTGCATCAAAATGAATTTAATGCCAAAAAGCTGGCTCCTCAAGGAGACAGACTGCATTTCTCAGGTCACTGCTTCTATTTTGTTAAAATAAAGGAATGATAATAATTAGAAATATCCTACTAAATGCAGTTTCTTTTAAAAATTGCTTCCAAACACTTGAGCATTAGTCTGGGCAAATACATCTGTAATGAAGAGATCAGCTAAATCACACTCTTGACAAAGCAATTTTGCTTAAAAAGTGATTTGGGATCCTTCTGTAAGAAAGGCATATTATAGAAGCTGGTTCATCACTGTATTCAGAAGATAAGGAATATTTCCAGCTGTATTTGTTGCGTTTTGCCTCTTCCAAGGAATTCACCTTGTTCTTCTAGAACCAGAGAAAATGTTCCCATCTCACATATTACCACAGTCTTGAAGGAACTAATAGATTGAGCGCAGCTTTAAGCTACTGGATCTCAAGCAGGGTGCCCTACATCCTCAGGATTTGGGGAGCACCTCATCAGCAGGGGAAAGGGAAGGACATTGAGATCTCCAAGCAAGTAACTGGTCCTGTGCCTGGCAGTGCCAGTGCATCATGCAGGGCTTACCACTTCAAGCTGACTGGGAAGCAGGTGTACCTAAAGAGGTTCTGGACCTGGCCTGAGCGGGACAGGGCAAGGGGGCAGAACTGCAGTAGTTACAATGGAGCAGTATCAGTACTGTGGTATTTCATCTTGACAACATCCATCTCATTTCAATAAGGCATTTCAACACGAGCACCTCTGCCACAGAGGTCACCACACCAGGTGAAATGTGTCTGAGTCAGGACTGGGAGCAGCGAGCAGGTCCACACAGAGCGGGGTAATGGAGCTGATGATTCAAAGCTTCAGTGCTCAGAGTCCACTGAGGCTCTGAAAGTACAAATACAAGCTTGTGCATGTGTGGGATTTCAAGGCAGGTGCTTTCCTAGGTGGGCAATGCGGAACAAAAATCCTGATCATTCTTTTCTAAGCATCTTTCAATGAAAAGAGGGGAAAATATCTGTTAAAATCAGTCAGCATAACTGTTTACGTATTTATTAATACTTTTTCTCTTTTTCTTAAAATTAAACTTAAATTTTAGAGTGTTCTGCCCAAAACATGACCCAGGCAATAGGACCAATCACTATGGTGAGTTTCTTTAATGGCTTCATTGATTTAATTTGTTTTAAAAGTTTGCATCCTAAAATCAATGACTTACTTGAACAAAATAAATGTTGTTCCACCTTTATATTGAATTATTCTGACTCTGTGTGGGCAGGTAGGCCCAAGAGGCTTGTAAAATTCATGTGAGACACAAGAGCTGATGAGTGATGCACAAGCTTGCACTTGATTAGCAAAGAGGGGTTGCTACAGGAGAGGTCACCTTTGGATTTTTAGTGTGTATCTACATTAAAACATTCACATTTGCATCTTCTCTATTCACTGCAGTAGCTTATTTAAAATAGGGCCTTTCATTCTGAAGGATCCCAAAGAGCTTTCTAAGTGTAACGAAAGGGTTGCACAACCCCTGTTTAAGGATTGCTTCCTTTTCTATAGAAATGCAGCTGACTTGGGCAGTCCTGGTCCTTGCCAACTCACAGGTAGTCGGGAATCTCACTGAATTAACCAGCCAAAGTGATGACTTTGTTAATGGAAAGCACACAACCCCTCTCAAAATGGAGTGGGTCCTAGCCTGGCCTTCACTTTGGAGATAAGCTCAGACAAACTGGGAGCACTAATGCTAAGAGTTGGGTGCTCCCACTGAATTTGAGCAGTCTGTGGCTAATCATGACAAGGCCTGTCTCCCCCCTGGTGCCGCTTGGGGTGGGTTAGGTGACAGTCATTTAAACTTCTAGTCACAGGTCTGGGGCTGCTTTGCGAGCCGTACGGTCCATCTAACACCTGATTCTGCTGTGGCTCACTAACCAAATGCACCTTTATTTCACTCAGTAGTTTTGCTTTTTATTTATCTGTTTGTTAGTTCCGAGGCCCGACATTCCCTCCCTTTTTAAAATGAATTTGATTCCTTTGGCCTTATGGTTGTCAGTCTGCTGGGTTTGTCCTGGGTCCCAGCTCATCTCCTGCCCAAGTACTAGACAGGGCCAGGATTGCTTCCTGTCCTGTATGAGATGAGAGCCAGGTATTAAGTCCAGCCCTGTGGACCACCTCCTTCAGAAGGAAGGCATAAATCTCATGAAGTTGAAGGTCTTTGTGTCCGCAAGTGCTGCATGTACAGTGCATGGGCTGTTCGCTTAGAAGAGGGATCTCCTAGAGGAGGTCTTCCAGAGACACTTAATTTGGAGGCCTTCTGCTGAAGAGGGGTAAATGGATTCTGCTGGCAGTGGCTGTCCTGCCTCCTGAATGAGCGCTGTGGCTCCATGGTAGAGTTTTGACTTTCAGGATCTAACTTGTGTGAAGCAGCTCAGCCATTCCTTTGGGGCAGGGCTGTGTGGGAGCAGGAGCTGTACAAAAGGGCTGCCTCTCCAGGCTTGTTTTCCCCTGGTAGCTTGGGGAAAATGGGGTCAGGGAACATCCCCTGGTTCTTGCTTCAGACAACATTCCTGTGTGGAAATGTCAGGGCTCTGTTGTGTGGTTGAAAGGGGATAGGGTGCCTTAGGGGCTGAGAAGTCTCCTTGCAGCTCTCCAGCAAGGATGGGAGGGCAGTTTGGACTTGAAACAGGCTCCGACCTCTGCTTAACTGGGAGTGTTGGAGCACCTAGAGTAAAGGCTCACAAATACGGAAGAGCAGAGAACGGTGTGGGGAGCAGGAGCCGGGCTGCTCCTTGGACTGCTCTCCTCTTGTTTTATAAGACATCTCTAAAGCAAACATCAGGAGAAAATCCTACCACATGTCAATGATGTCATGCTAGACAGCAAGGAACACTTTGTGCCTGCACCAGCATCTCCTAGACTGCTCCAAATGAGTCCATCCAGCTTTATTTTGGATGAAAATTTCCTTTCAGGCCATGAAAAATGCAAATGTACAGCACTGGTACCCAGAACCGAAACCTGTTTCAACAGCCTTCCTGTACCAATTCCTCATGCCTCTTTTCCTGTTACAGATCAGGAACAGGAAAAAAGCTAAGTGCTGCCCCAAGGATGTAGTCAAATGGGAGAGGGGCGGGTAATCCCATTGCATTTAAAACCCTCAGGTTTTGGTGGGTGGTTGAACCCTTCTCTGGCTTTCTCTGCTCCTGTCATGTCTTCCTTGCAGAGTTACCCGTCTCTGCTTGTGATGCTGTAGCTGTTACTAGCAACTGCCAGTTAAGATGTTGGAGAGAGGCTGGTGCATGCTGACAGAAAGGACAGAGTGAAAGCAGATGGTTTTGCAGAGTTCTCATACCCCATCACTGAAAACACTTCGTAGCATAAATACTGTTAAACTGACAAGGCTTCTAGGAGGGTCATTATATCGATGGAAAACCTAATGCCATTTGTATGTCTTTGGGACACCTAAACCAGTTCTTTATTTAGTCTCAGTTTTGAGGGTGTGTTAACATAAGCAAGAATTGACTGTGAGAAAAACAGTTATCTTTAATAAATTTGCCTGAAGTTTTTAGTGCTGCTGCCAGGTTCACTCTGCCATAATCAAAACTCATGTTAAAAACTGGGGTTTGCTTTATACTGAGTTTAAAACACAAACTGATAACCTAATGCAACAGTGATTGGCACTTCTTAATGGTTCAGGCTTGTTCTTTTTCTTATGTGGAAATAACGTGAATTCCACTGAAAATGTTGGGTATTTGGGGGAGCTGAAACAATCTTGCCTTGCCACCCAAAGTGCCTGACTTCTGTAGCTTTTTGGGAAAAGAGAGAATTTGAATGACGGGAAATCTTAAGCCTGAGGTTGACACATTTGTTGCTTTGTTGTTTCTTGATTTCTAGATACAGCTAATAAGAGGAGAAGACATACGTTGAAATCTTCCACCATCACAGAACAAATGGTAATTCTGAATTTAAGTAGTTCTAAACCAGGAACCCGCTTCTGCTACAGCACAGGACTTCTTTAGTGAGGTGTTTTGACACTGTGCTCAGAGACAGACCTCCTCACAGAAGCAATAACTTTTCCTTTACAGCTGCCTTGTTTTCATCTTGTCATCCTGTCAAAACAAACACATTTTGCATTTGGAGCTGCTTCAGGCAGAGCCCAGTGATGCCCTTGGGTAACATGGCACAGATGCCACGTATAACCAGGCTGGCTCGGTGGCTGTGGTCTTGACATGACTGGAGAGAGCTTCCCTTTGGGGTTTCCTTTTCTCAGGAAGTACTACATCCCTCAGATGTGCTTAGGGCTTGACACAGTTTGCATGAACACCTGCTTTTCATGAGACACTTGGCCTTTTAAACCAGCACTTAATGATTTGTGAGCCTGTGCTTATTGTATGTGGCAGGAGAAGAGCCTATCAGGCTGTCCTCGGCTCTGCTGGTGAAGATGGCCCTCCAGGGGTTTGGGAGCTGTCAAGCAGAGCATCCATCTGGTTGCAGGGGTAATGGTTTTAGAAGCTGATGTTCGCTGTTGTCTCCTCAGCAGTATGCATGGGAACTCCCATTGACTCTGGGGACTTTCTCCTTTCTAGAGGAATTGGCATCAAGCTTTCCTTGGGACAAAAAAACCAACCACCTTTCCCAGGGCTTGAGGTTAAAGGGAGATTGTGTGAGGGGATGTGGGCAATCTTCATAGCTTTTATGTAGTACTCTCTTGAGAGTAGGTTATTTGTCTCTGAGAATTTCTGAGCTGTAAATCCACATACATTCCCAGTGGTATAACAGATTCGTCTCACCAGTTGTCCACAGGAATGTGCTATTTCTGCAGCTCTCCAGTGCTAGTGATCTCAGAAATCAATACAAACTTTGCAGATAAGAAGCTGAGAGGCTCCAGGATTTGTACCTGCAGGATATACTGTTTACCACTGTGTCAGCAATGCGTGTTTGCACTGGTGGAGTTCTGTGACAGAGCTTAAGGATTCTCTGTAGTACTGTGGTATGACATGGAACAACTGAGAATGACTGCGTCCTGTCCAAAGGGAAGGAAAATATTCCCCTTCTCTGAAACTATAGAATCACAGACTGGTTTGGGTTGGAAGGGACCTTAAAGACCATCCAGTTCCAACCCCCTGCCATGGGCAGGGACACCTTCCACTAGACCAGGTTGCTCCAAGCCCCATCCAGCCTGGCCTTGAACACTGCCAGGGATGGGGCATCCACAGCTTCTCTGGGCAACCTGTGCCAGGGCCTCACCGCCCTCACGGGGAAGAATTTTTTCCTAATATCTAATCTCAATCTACCCTCTGTCAGTTTAAAGCCATGACCTTTTAAAAAGTCCCTCTCCAAATTCCTTGTAGGCCCCTTTAGGCACTGGAAGGCTGTTATAAGGTCTTCCCTCTTTTTCCAGGCTGAACAACCCCAGCTCTCTCAGCGTGTCTCCACAGGAGAGGTGCTCCAGCCCCCTGAGCATCTTCGTGGCCTCCTCTGGACTTGCTCCAACAGGTCCACGTCCCTCTTGTGTTGGGGGCCCCAGAGCTGAACACAGCACTGCAGGTGGGGTCTCAAGAGAGCGGAGGGGAAGAATCACCTCTTGACCTGCTGGTCATGCTGCTTTTGATGCAGCCCAGGATATGGTTGCCAGTATTCCATAGCTTGAGGGAGCTAAATGTTGTCTGCACTGGGAGTCAGCAGTAGTTGTTTGCTCATATCTGTGCTATTTGCCAGTGCAGTAATTCTGGCGGTGGTGTCCCAGATGTTGGGCTTTTCTGAAAGAGATTTTGCTTTGAAGCAATTTTTGCTTCCCTTTTTAAAAGCAGTGTCTGGAGAGGAGTATCACCAGCTTTGCAGAGAAGCTGACTGTATGCACAGGTATATGGGCTGCTTTTTATCTCTGTGCTAATGTAGAGGCAGGGTAATGAAAACAAAGCAGTAAATGTCAGCATGATGTAAAAATGTTACTTTGATTTTCTTCCAGAGCACACGAGAGACAGCAGAAGAAAACAGTTTACGAATACTAAAAAGAAAAAACAACAGGCATAAAGGTGTGACTCGCTTTATAGAACAACTGGGAGATGCTGTGGTGACTTATGTTGAAGTTCAGCGCTTGGAGCTGGTTGATAGCAGCTATGCTGCACACGTATCTCCACTGCATGCTGGGATTATGCTGCTGCTTGGGAGGCATTAGTGGGGATTATTCACCTCCCCATGGCTGCGCTTAGTACATGGGCATGTATTGGAACAGTAGGTGCTGCCTCAGGTTTGGTTCGGTTCTTGATCTTTACTACCCCCATAAAGAACAGGGAACATATCAAGAATTCTGGAATACTTGTAGGGGTTCTGGTGTAAGTGAAATGACATTTCTTTTCTCACAACAGTCTCCAGTAAAAAGCACCACTGTTTTCTGATGGAGACTGGCAGACTTCCCTGAGCTGTCCCATAGCACTTTCCTTTTGAACAGCCCATTGGATGGATCTTGCCAAAACCTGTCCCTGACCTGCTGCTTTGAGATGAAGACAAAAATAGGCGGTTATTTCCCTAGCAATCCACATCTGACAAAGCAGGCCTGTAAAATGGGCTGCGACAAATGAGTTTCATGCATGGATCACCTGGAGTAGAAGTAGCCTCAATCTTCTTACCAAGTCCAAGACTGATTCACTTCTTGCACTGGTTTCTATCTTCCAGTCCACAGGGTGGTTCTGAGTATTGGAAGGGGGCGGGGGGGAAATCAAGACAAATCCCTTGATTTCCTCTTCTGGGGGTAGTGGGAAGTTTTAGGAATGGTGCCTGTAGGGCTGTGGAGATACTTGCTTTGGATGAACAAAGCCAAATGTGGTGCTTGGGTAATTTTTACCCCCAGCAGTGGTTGTGTTTGCCTGACCGTGTTTTTTTCCCACTGGAAAAGGCTGAGTGGGTAGATGAAGGAGCCAGAGATTTGCCAAAATGCTTGTTTCTGGGAGGGGGACTTTAGCCAAAGTTCTAGTTTCTGAAGTAAGCAAGTAAAGGCCACTTTAGAGATCACTTCTGACAAGTGTGTTTTTGTGTTTCAACAGTGCAAATAGACTTTCTTAGGAAATGCAAGCAAGCTGGGCTCCTGGATGACATATTTGAAGAAATGCTGGACACACTTCACCTGGCACAGGAAAAACTGATGGATGACAACACTTCAGAAACAGGTATGGAGACCCAGGGGGGAATCTGCTCTCAGAGCAGAACTGGGTCACCTTCCCGGGGATACTTCCACAGCACTAAATCATAACTCAGCATGCTCTAACAAGGCCTTCCAACTTGAATTTCTAAAGCCACCTTTTGCCCATTGGCATAAGCACAGGGAGGTTCAGCCAGACCACTTCTCCCAGGCACTTAGAGAGAAGTCCTGAAGAGAACTGGAGGGTTTTCGCTGGGTCATGAGTCTGTGTCGTTCTTACAGCTTCACAAGAGGCACCAGCTGTCTGTTAATATCAGCAGTCTCTTCTGAGAGAAACTATCCCCGAGTGTGTACATTTTAAGTCTTTGGATGATTAGTTAGAACTTTATTATCAACTCTTACTGTGTATTTGGGGGTTTCAACAGTTTAAGTATTAGCTTCTATGAAGCTTCTATGAAGCACTTTGTTCTTGGAGGATTCCACTGCAGTGTTGCTCTGTCCAGAACACAGTTAAAAAGAACATTTCAAACCTTCCTCTCCTATTGTCCTCCCAGCTTTACAAAGTTATGAATAATACCGTTAGATAAGGAATGCTGATTTATGCATAGTCACTGAAGTGAACGCACGGGAAGTGAAATGCCCTACCTAGCTAAATCTTCCTTGTGAGCAGTTGTGTGTAACATGACAGCAGCTGCTGGAAGCAGCAGCAAGGTCCAGGACACATTTAGAGGCTCAGAGTCTTCACATTAAGAACATCTTAATAGTCCTACAAACTATTTAGGTGTTCTGTGTTCTGTTCTGATGGAAACCCCAGTTATGAAACAGAGGCATCCTGGGCTGGGTTGTAACCCTGAACAGTGCTAGTGCTGTCCCATGTCTCGCAGAGCCTGTCAGGAGGAGTTGGTGTGGGCAGCCCTGCTGTTACACATGCAGTCCTGAATGAAACAAGACTGGAGTGTATGAAGTGTATATATATTCCTCATTTTTAAATGGACTGTTCACATGGTGCAGACCCACAAGGGAATTCCAGGCAGATCCCCTTTCCTATTTTCTGTATGGAAGCTACCAAAAAAGATAAATTGACAAATTGATCCTTCTTTCTTAATATGGATTGTATGAGAAGGAAGGCATCTTAAAATCTTGAGCAGTCAGTATGACAAAAGTAATTACTGTCTTGTGCTGCTTCTGACATAGGGCTCTGCATTAGCATGAGGGTTCTGTACATCTTTACTTGGTAATACTAAATCAAATTCTCTCTAACAGTAATATCACTCTTTGACTGTGGACTGTTTGAAAATATACTGACCAATATTCACTCAGGTACGTGAGAGCAGCTGTTGGAGCAGCAGCAGTTGCTCTGGGGTATGGCGCTGAAGCTGAGTGTCTCAGCATTTTGATAAAATGACCGTTGAAAATGAAAATTCCAAGGAACTTTTTTTCCCCCCCCAACGTCAGTGCATGAAGGTGATGTTTGTTGATGGTTGTGGTTTCCCCTTCACTTGACTGAGAAAGCCAGGCTCCTCTCACCTCCTCACATTTAAATTCTCCTTCTGGAAACAGAAGCTACAGGCCTTGCAGTTACTGGAGACAAGGTTCCACCAGTGCATCTCTGCTCAGAACTCCTCGTGTGATGCAGCTGTGGTTGCACTTGGTTCTGTCACAGCTGCATTGATTATTTCATCCTTTTCTCAGCTTACAGGAGAAATTCTTGATGTTGGCTCCTACATACACACAACCATGTGTATAAAAGTTGCCCGCTCTCCAGTTCCCTGCTACATAAGCGCCTCAGTTCTTCCTGTACCTCACAATCATCTTTTCTGATACTGTCAGCCTACTTTTAATTTCAAGGTCAAAAATGGAAACACACATCTGACATATTGACACTTCAGCTAGTCCCTTGTGTACAGGACGCAGTCCATCTCTTCATGGAGAGACCAGGCATAGGGGGTATTAGACTAAAGGCTCTGCTGCAGAAAGGCAGAGTTAGACTAAGCCTTTGAATGTTAATGCATATATAATGTGTATTTTAAATTAATCATAGTTACATACAAATAAAAGCTTTTATCACTCTTTTTTGTAATAGGAACAGAGGAAAAAATCCAGGAACTTCTGGAAAGCAGAAAAAAACTGGATACTAAGATTGAGCTACTGCAGGACTTGAAAGAAGTCGTCCTTCCTACCCAAGACAACACTGCGAGTACATCTAGTACAATGTCTGAATAACCCGACTCTGTCTGTAGTGGTGTCAATATTTAGGATTTTCTAATGGTAGAAACCATAGAGTCCGTCTGGTCAATGTCTGAGTAATTCCCTCCCCCTCTCACCCTCTACCCCCAAGATAGGAATACAGGTGTTTTACTCATTTTTATACCTCACTGTTGCAATAATTTTAAGTTGTCCCTTTAAATTTTCCCCTGGAGCAATGACCATTACACACCAAATGTAGCTTTCTCTAAAGCTCAACAAAACCCTCCAATGAAGAGGTTTTTTTCTCTCAGACAAGGGACCACCAGCTGCCACAGAACACTTGTTAAAGTCACTTCAGCTGTGGGAGCCCTCTTATGACTCTGCTGTAGCTGCTTCACTGTCTGCAGCTGGACAGTGATGGTTAAGGATCATGTTGCTGCTTTGGCTTTCCAAAGATAAAATTAGCAGAACTTGCACTCAAAGAAGCCTTCTGAATTCTAAACAGGAGTTTGTTTTTTTAATTGAATGATTCTTGATTGACTGCTCAATGTATAACTCGTTCTGCTGTAACAGTGTTTGCAAGCAGACCCAAAACAGTTGGGCATCACAGTCTAAACAACATGTAAAATGGGTCAAAGAACAAACTGTGTCTTCCTTTCACCATTAAGAAAGGATATGACTTCCATCTGTGTTGTCTTTACGAAAAATGTTTTGAATACAAAAAAAGGACTGTTTAGCTACGGAAGTTAACAAAATAAAATGTTTATAAGAAAGTTGTGCATTTAGTCATGCTCCCTTGCCCCACGGGACCCACCTGAGGAAGGGGTGTGCTGTTACACACTTTGCCTCTCAGTCGCAAGCTGAGCAGGAGCAGAATGATCCATTGCTTGTTAAATGCCTATGCTCTCTCCATGACTGGTACGAAGTCCTGTTCTGAATGAAGGTGGTGATGGATAAGCACAAAGTAACAACTTTCACCACATGAGCTCCTGAAGTAGAACTATGAGCCGTGCCCCTCCCCCAACAAAATACCAGTATTTTCACCTGCTTACAGTCAGGCCTGCTGGCTGTGCAGGGCAAGAAATACAACCTTCTGCCTGCACCAAGGATTCACCAGCAACTCCCACCTAAGACAGTGTTATAACATGGAGCATGCTTTTATCTGGGAGTGGGGGACAAAGATAGATACAGATTTTTAGGGAGTGAGCTCTTTTTCCCCATTTACTGATGAGCTTCAGAGCAGCTTAGAGGACAAGTCCTGTACTCTTGTGTTCCACCCCCTGCCAAGCTCAACCTTTAGCCTAGAGTTTGCAATCCAAAACAAGTTGTTTATTAGAAACATTTCTGACACATTTTGGAAGCATTCTGTCAGCCTGTCCTAGGCTGAACTCCCCAACTTCGTGCTGTAGGAGCTCCCTGGCCTCTCTCAACCACCCAAAATTCTAGGCTCTGCAAAGTTACAACCCCAAACTTAGACCTGCAGTTAACCTGAACTTCAAATCCAACATTCCAGGTCCTCTGCTCTACTCTGTAGGTGGTGCAGATGTAGCACCTTAAAAGTATTCAGTAAAAATAGGAGTGTATATCCATACATATGTGCTGTGAGGTTACAGTCACATATGGAAGAGCCACAGTTTGTCATCACTGGTGTCTACAAATAAAGGTGCCATTTTCTGAAGTTGAGCTCACACGTAGTTGTCAAGCACAGTGAAACTGGTAAGATTCAGTCATACCTAGGCTGTGGGGTTGGGCTAACTTTTTCTCTGAAGTGAAGTAAAGCAGCTCCTATGCTGTAGGTAACAGAAAAAGCTTGCCAGTTTCTTCAAAGGCCAAAGAAGTTCACTAGTGAACAGGTATTAAAAAAAAAAAGTGAGTTTTATTACTTGTAGTTTACATTTACATTTAAATGCAAAACCCCTGCTTTCAGAACAGTGTATCCCTTCCCCTCCAAGGGAATTGATATAATCTGGAGTCTATCAAGAGGAATTTTTTTCCATTAGCTATTATAAATATTCTTGAACAGATTACATGAAGTATACATTGTAGCTTATATTACGGTATACCCAAATACACAGATTTACTTCTGATTAGATGTGTTAGTTACCCCTTTTTCAAAGTCCCTCGCGTAGGCTTTGCAGATGGATGATTTGTGCACACTTCTCTAACAGCAAAGTCATTCACAATCATGCAAATGCAGTAAGAGAGTTCCATGCCATTTGCTTCTCTATAATCCCAGGGAGTTAATGATTTAAGTGACATCATTCAGTGGCTCAGTGAGACTAGTTTCCAACCCCAAAGAAGTTGAAAGTCTTGCCAGGCAGTGCTAGAACTGCGATTTCCCAGGCTAAAGAGGCATCCTCAACACTGGCTGGTAGCCTATGCACACCACCATGTTTCCTCTCTCCAGCTGAAATCTTGAGCTGGCTCCACTATCCAGGTTTGCTAAATGCAAGTGAATATTTTGCTTGACATTTTACAACAGTTCACTCTTGACCACAGAAAACTTGTTTCTGCTGTGGCCTTTCATGTCTTCTGGTATAAAAGACCAGGCAACACTCACTTTTACCTGTACAGTTACAACATCCTGTTACAACTGCAGAAAACCCCTACAAACACCCATAACTTACAGCCTTATTTCAGTTCTTAAATGCTCCACATTTACTGGCTTTAGCAATGAATTCCTTTAGCAGAGGACCATCCATTTGCCAAAATGCTGTGGTTTGTGTCACTTCTGTCAAATGATTGACACAAAACTTAAAGCAGAATTCCTCTAAGTCCTAAACAGAAGAAAGAAAAGAAGAAAAAAATCTTATTATCTTTGCTTCCTCCAGCACAGAAAATGACATTCAGGCACAAATGCCTGTATATGCTTTATTTTTACAGATGAGACAAACACATTAACCCAGTGGCTCCCAATGTTCTATCCCTACACAGTCACTATGTAAATGCAACAGAAAATAGTAATTCTACCCACATATCATGGTTACAAGGGGAACGGTAACCATAACTGGTTCTCACTACGTAGCTGCAGTCACAAAAATCAGCTGTTATGAGCAATATGTACTTTAAAAGTCTTCCCATTTGAACAGCTTTATCTGCACTCACTGACACCTACTAAAACCCGATACAAACAGGAAACCTCAGGGTAATGATAGACAACCAAGACTGTGGATTAAGAAAGTTCAGCTCTTTTGGTTGATAAACTCAAATCTATATGTAAGGTTGCTTGACTTCTTGTTTAGTTAAGGGCTTAACTAAAGCCTTGGAGTTGCATGTCCCCAGACTCACTGCAAGCAGATACTGACTGGATAGTTTTAATGCCAAGTTTAGGCAGAAAGCCTTTCTGTGCCTTAGAAACAGAATCTTGTTACGAAGTACTTCACAGACATCCCAGAAATGATTCAAAAGAAGTAGAGTGGCACAATACAGCACAGCAATTCTTGCAGAAAGTGGACTCTGGGTATTTGAGTCTACTTGGAAGTGCCTCCCAGAAAAGCCTCACAACTGTCATTGTACCCACATGATGTCAGAGAGAAAGGATGTCTTGAAAAAACAAGACACAGTTGTCAATATGAGGTTGACCACAGAATGCTTCCCACTCATTTATTTCCAACCCCTCTTCTGAGGAGGAAATCTACTCTGTGGTGCAGAACTGAGCTGTCATAAGGAGGATGCTGCAGCCCTTTACAAAATAGCAAGTCCTCACCCTGTTCTAATTCCTTTATTGTGTTTTAAGTTTGTAGAACTAGTACTTCACACGTGAGAACACCCCCTTCCTCAGCTGCTCAGCACCCTGGGCACTGCAGTAAGGCAGAATAAATTTGAAGAGCTCTTTAACCCACTGATTAATATTCACAATACTGAACACTACAGCAACCGTGTGCCAGTGCGAGTTCTTGACACAACAACAATATAAAAATATATCCTGGCCTAAAACCAGGCATTCTGAAGCTGCAGATCTTGGCTTGTGTGGCATCTGTGCAACAAAAAAAGACAAGCTTATTAGAACTGAACACTGATGGGTTTCTTGTTTTTAAATAACAGAATGAACTAGCATTTTCAACAAAATTACATCATACATACGCGTTACAATATTTTGCACTGCTTTATTTTAAAAGAAACCATATTCTGAGTCAATGCAACAAAAGCATACAATAAACATACTGTAATATTAGAAAGTAACTTTGGAATATTTAAAAGTTCTGAATTAAAAAAAAGGCTGAATTTCACTTGCAGATGGATGCACTCCCAGCAAACTGTACTTGAAATACAGGCTTAAGTGAATAAAGGCACAAGGTACATCCAAGGATTATTTTAAGAGCTACAGTAAGCAGCCACACCTGACCTAATTCTAGCCACTTCAGCTCAGTCACCAAAAGAACGTACAGGAGAGTTTTGTATAATGGAGGTATTTTAAATTAGCAAAGCAGCTTCTTTTAACTGTTGTCTTCCAGATGCACAGTCCCTTGAATGAACTACATCACCCAAGCAATTTCAAGCTCCCATCCAGCATTACTGCATACAAAAAACACTTCTTACTTGGAAAAAAACCAAAAAAAAAACCCCAAACCCTCAGTGTCACCTGTTCTCTCCTCGATGTAGCATTTAAGCCTGTGGTTCTAACTTCATTTAGCTAGCGAGGTACAGCCAAGGCACAGTAACTGGATTTCTTTTACACTTTAAAAGCAGAATCAATCACACACTGAACACTCATCTTCTGAGGCTAAAATATGGAAATCTTCCATTTTCCATGAAGTCCCATCAAAGAAACTGTTATTCACAGTAGAGCTGAAGCCACAATTCAGACACTAACGCAGCCCTTTAGGTAAGGTATATCAAACAAGCAACACATGACAAAGCTCTGAAATAAGTTAAGGCACCTGCATGCCAATGACTGGATATTAAGTACAAGAAAAAGCAATGAGCTCATTTACTGCTTTATAAGCATACGTAGCAAGTTAAAAGCCAACCAAAGGTGCAAACATGATGCACAGATACTATGCTGAACACAGATAGTCACAGCAAGACCAGGAATACATCCTGGTTAGTCCACAAAGCAGCATGTTAGTGATTTAGTAGTGAAGTCAGACATGGTGCAATAGAGAAGTTTCTCTAGCCTTCCCCCCTTTTCACACACTTGTTCTCTGTCTTCAACATTTATCAGGCCCACAAAGCAGTTCTTATTCTGCCATTTCATCATACTGTGAAGACTGATAGTGTATTTAACTGTAGCTAAAACAAAACAAGACAACAAAAGAAAAAGAAACCCAAATGCACTCAGTCCCCAAACCTACCACCATATGACATCACACAAACTTAAAAGTAGGTAACTTCAGGCTTACAAGACCGCTATTCATAATGTTAGTGGTTTTGTTTTGTATTTAAACCCCTCCCCTGTTTCAGAGTTAGTGTTTCAGAATTTTTTTGTTACAGTCATCTTCATCTCCCCCCCTGAATAGTAATTGATGAAGCTTGGCACAGCATCATAAGCTTTTACCATGAAATTATGCAATGCAAATATTTATAGATAATAAGTCTCAGCCTGGAACTTAAGTTATCTTTAGCTATCTGTGTACTAGTTCACCTTCCCAATCCTGATTTATGGGGATGTGAGAAGATACATCTCCCATGGCAAATACAGGGTTTTTAAGTCCAGCGTTCTCAAATTCTGACAATAGGAAATAGTATTATCTGATAGTAAAGGAGAGAGCTTATATGAAAAAATAACTGGCAGCTTTTCTCCATAGTTTAAGTCAGAAAGCAGCCACCTATTTAAGAGATTGAAGTTTAGAAGTTTACCTCTGCATCGTATCTGACAGCAGCAGAGAGCAATGAAAAGGCATTTTCCACAGTAATTCCTCTCTTGATAATATGCTGACACAGTTTTTTCAGTCTATTTTCACAGTACGAAGTAGCCAAATCCAAAAGCCCTGCAATTAAAACACAATTGTACATTAGTCTGTTGTAACGATCTCTGCTCTTTCAACAGCAGCTTATGCTCCCGGGGTACAGACTGCATCTGCACTCTGTGTGCGATGTTCTATGGCTCTGTAAGATGCTTTTTGCTAGTGGGTCACTACTCAGGAAAATTAATTTTACTGTTACACAAGAAGAAAGGCCTTTTATTGCCTCATGCCATAATCCTATAATCTCTCTAAATACACAAGCTGTTCCACTGCTTTGCATACCTAACTGCTTGTGAGAATGGAACTGTCACAGAACAACCAGCACAACATGAGCAAAAAGCTACCATTACAAAAATCTGTGCCTGAATTACAGCTTGCTCTTTGCTTTGCTGTCCAAGTTTCCTCTATATTACATCTGCTGAGATTCTCTGATATTATCCAAAACAATAATTGACTCAATTTAGTAAAATATTCAAGTATTTTAACCCAGAGAAAGTTTTTCTCCCAAACTTGAAAAAAATGCTCATAGTTTATTTCTAAATACGCTTTTGCTACGGTGAATTTGCTATGACAGTATTTTTAAAACAGGTTAATTAATCACCAGTAGCACATATTATAGGCCAGACTAGAAGCCTACATTAATATATACATTCTGCATCCCTTGCCTCAGTTTTTCTGGATGTTGCTTTCTAACATAATTGGACCACAAGCAATACCTATTGCATCTTCAGGCGGAAGGTCCACACTGTCTGTATACAAGTACTCAAGAAAGGCACGATACACAGGATAAGAAAACTGGTCTATTTCTAGCACTTCCTTCATATCCTCATTCCAGTATGACTGGAACATGGTTCTGAAGTGTTCACACCTAAGAGACAAAGACATTATCTGCAACACTATTATATGAACACATGAACGTTACATTACAGTCCCCCTGAAATACATATTTGGGGCACTTTGCAATATTCACAAATATTTTACCATACCCCATCACAGCCAGTGGTCCACATTTTGGTTCCTAATACTGTGGGCATTGTTGTGCATTAAGATAAAACTCTTATTTGATCTATGCTACAGAAATGTCTATGTATTCACTGCAATCAGACCAACTTAACAGAATTCGTTATCCTGGAAACAACTGATGGGCTTAGTGAAAATTCAATATGGACCATTTCAAGACAGAGTTTTGATTCAATTCTTTTTACAATCACTTCATTTAAAGTGATTACGGATACATAGATACTGTATATTACAAGTTTAGGGGTCTCTCCCTACCCCTTACTTCCCCCCATCTTAGATGTGATACTGAGAGTTTATACAGAATAACCAAGAGCTGTGAAACATGACCACTACCTGATTTTCAGAACAGCTTTGTGGACATGGATGTACTTTCCATCCACACGGAACTTTAGGTCTGAGGTTTCTGGGCTGTCAAACTCTTTCTTCAGAGACTCTGCTACTGTTAAAAAGTCTTCATGCTCTACAGAAACAATTTTAAGACAAACAAAACCATGTTATGCATCTTAAACAGAACATACACATCACTACCTAATGCTAGCAGCTCAACTAAGAGCATGTCAAGGAAAATAGGTCAGTAGTAGAGCTCCACTGGCTTAAGTGGTGAAATGGGAGGAACAAATTAATCCAATACCATTTCCTGTTGGCAAGGACTGCTCCACAACAGCTACAGGCAGCAGCGGTCAGCAGTTCCTGTGGCAGCTCATTGCACAGAGGTAGCAGAGCACCATGGGAAGCACCTGGAGAACTTTTCTCTTTCTCCTCCTGGGCACCGCTCATGAGGTTGCCACCCCCCTCACAGCTCACTGCTAGTGCTCATGCTAGTCAGCTCAGCTCTGCAACCTGCAAACTACCTCTGCAGCTGCACACTGCTCTTAATGGGAATCTACAGCATGACCTGCAACTCAAGACAGTGTACAGTACTTCGGCTGCTCTGAGAGAGTGTGATCTGAGCTTAAACAGTAAGAAGATGTGTCACCAGTTGGCCACTTGTTTGTGCTGGCAGACTGGATATAGCCTGCAGGTTGCCAGTCAAGGTCTTTGGCAGGGCTTACGAGCATGAATTATCACTGACACCATTATACTCAGTTTCTTAGTCAATTATGACAACACAAAATCCAACCACAGTGCTGCTGAGGAAGAGTGACAGAAGATACTGTGTTCTTCGCACAACCAAGGACACAGGACTTTGGCAATTTTGGAACTGGATTAACGCTCACAGCTCTTTAACAGTTATTTATATTAAAGCCCATGGCACTGGTCCCACAGAAGTCCCACTCTATGTATCTAGAAATCATATATGAGTTGCAGCACAAGATGGCTCAGGCTTGTGGTAAAGCAAGATCTCTAAAGCTTTAGAAAAGCTAATTTAACCCACTATTTGAAGCTTCACTGATGCATCTTAAAAAGTGTGTTTCAAAACACATGGCCTCCAAGACGCAAAGTATGGAGAAGAAAAATAAGTGGATTTCCACTGTAATGGGATGTGGTCTACCTGCTGTGTCCCACAGGACTGCAGATTATCCATCCATATACAATCCACAAATTACCCTTCACCATTAGGGACAGCTAAATTACTTGGCATTTTAAAAGGAATACTGCTGTAACAGACAAGTCATGTTTGTGCCACAGAAGATCACACGCTCCTATAATTTACATGGATCACCCACAGAACCTGCAGCTCACCAGGGCTAACTACACCACGCTCCAATCCCTCTCCATTTGCTCATGCAATTTTAATTCCCAGGTCATCAACTTAGCTTAAGCTACACAGCAGGTCAACTTTCACTCCAAACACCTTAAGTTCATTCCTCAAAGAAGGCTGCAGATTTGTACTTCACCACAGCCAATCCCAAGTGACTGATTGATTTTTTTGGCAGAGCAATCATAACTGGAAGTAGAACAATAACCTTTAAGCAGAGTTAGTTCTCACCGAGAAAAAAACCCAAACAAACATAGAAAGAAAAAAAGTCTTTTTAACCTCTATGAATAAAAAGGTGGGGAAGGAAAACATGCAGGTGGAAGATGGAGATTAAAAATACCCCTACAATTAATTCTTTTGATTTAAATATTCAGTAAGTAGGATTATCAGAATAAGAGGGGAATAACCCCCAACAGCTGAGAGAAGTTAAGAAGCAGGTACAAAAGTCAAACATGTTGTTATACTCAGTCTGGGAATATTTCATAAAACCCAAGAACTTGAAAGGTACTGAAAACGGGGAGATGTCATTTAAACAGTCTTCGCTGTCAGCAACAGACTGGACAACCATCAGACCTCTAGAGAGGACACGACTAACACCTATCACAGAGGATTAGAGAATGGAGAAAGTGAGAGACTTGGATTTACCCAGAAGCAGATAATTCCAAGCTACTCATCTCCCTCTGTTAAAACTATTCAGTTTTTCTCTATAGATGAGATACTGTTATCTGGACCTCTATGAATGTGATAACATGCTAAATGAGAAGTTAAGGTAGAGAAACCTGGGTTAGGACAAACCACATGCAAAGATAAAGTCTGAGACTGCAGAAAGGTCACTTAGGATGTGATATGTCCACAAAACCAGTTTTGTACAGGAATTAACAAAATTAGATCTGTTGTCAATATGAAAACAGATTAGATCTCCTAAATGACCTCAACAACTGAAGCAGCAGGTCTAAAATGAAAACATCTTCACATTTTGAACATGAAGACACCGTCATGTTTTCAAGGAAGTGCAAGATAAGAGCAAGCTAAGCACTTTAAAGCATATATGGGGTTAGATACGAATTAGCAGAATATAAATCAAAGACAATCAACAAAGGTTTGGGTTTATTTGTTGGTCACAGAGGCTGCATCCCAAGGTGTAATCCAAGGTAGCATAAGAAGAGAGTTCTGACAGCAAAAACTATCAGGGTCTTGTTTTAGAGGGACTATTATTTATAAATCTGCCTGTCTTTGAATAAAAGTCAAACTACAGCACAGCTACAGGCTGGGCGGAGAAGAGATTCAGAGCAGTCCTGAGGAGAAGGACTTCGGGGTGGTGATTGATGAGAAACTCGACATGAGCAGGCAGTGTGTGCTTGCAGCCCAGAAACCAACCCTATCCTGGGCTGCATCAAAAGAAGCATGACCAGCAGGTCAAAGGAGGTGATCCTGCCCCTCCACTCTGCTCTTGTGAGGCCTCACTTGGAGTATTGCGTCCAGTTCTGGTGTCCTCAACATAAAAAGGACATGGAGCTGTTGGAGCAAGTCCAGAGGAGGGCCACGAGGATGATAAGAGGACTGGAGCACCTCCCGTATGAAGACAGGCTGAGAAAGTTGGGGCTGTTCAGCCTGGAGAAGAGAAGGCTGCGTGGAGACCTCATAGCCGCCTTCCCGTCTCTCAAGGGGGCCTACAAGGATGCTGGGGAGGGACTCTCCATTAGGGACTCTAGTGGTAGGACAAGGGGTAATGGCTTTAAACTTAAACAGGGGAACTTTAGGTTAGATATAAGGAAGTTCTTCACAGTGAGGGTGGTGAGGCACTGGAATGGGTTGCCCAAGGAAGTTGTGAATGCTCCAACCCTGGCAGTGTTCAAGGCCAGGCTGGACAGAGCCTTGGGTGACCTACTTTAGTGTGTGGTGTCCCTGCTCATGGCAGGGGGGTGGGAACTAGATGATCTTAAGGTCCTTTCCAACCCTAACTATTCTATGATTCTATAAGTTGAAAAAAATAATCTCAAAAAAAGAAAACCTGGAATTCTGTTACTTTACTTTCCTAACACGAAACACAGGAGAGAGATTCACTCCTTCATATTCATATGGGAAGGGTAAATACTAAGGAGGGAAAGCTAGAGACAACACTTATAGTTCAAAGTTGTTAGATACCAAAGGAACAAGTGTCAGGAGCAGTCTTCCAAGTAAGAATAGTTTTAAGAGAAAAAAGTTATATTTAATGATCTAGGAGTACTTCCCTGTCCTAAGCTGGAGCTCAAACAATACAAATGTAGGAGATACTCAATATTGACAGTGCAGTGGTAAAACAGAGTTCTCTCCAGATGTATGCCAGCAAATAATCTTGTTAATGCTATTCTGGATCCTTAGCTGCTGAAGCAGATGGTTTTCTTCAGAGTTAAAAAAACCTAGCTAAAAGCAGTAGTTTTAATTGCCAGTTCTCCTTAAAACAGAAACCAACCTGCCACAAAAACAGTATCCCGTACTAATCACTACTAATGTACACCGAGATTATTGCACTGGCTGCCATGTTGGAGCTTGCTCTCACCTACTGATAGAAGACGCCACATAACGGCTGGGGTAGCAAAGCAAGCAAACACATCATCAGTGCAGGCAAAGTGTGTGAGGTGGGGAAGGATCACGGACTGCCCACGGCACTGGCCCCACGTGTACACTTGGCCACTCTGGGTCTTGGCAGCCGATGTGTGAGCAGAGTGGCAGGCTGCAATCTCCACAACCCTGCGAACAGAAGAACCCTTGTAAGATACGTGTAAGGTATGGAATCAAGTGACTTTCCAAATATCTCACCAAAATAACAGCCAACCAGACTATGCATCTACACTCCTGTACTTCTTTCTTTGCCCTGCATGAATGTGATACTGTTTGAATGGGTATTTTAAAACTGCAATGACATTTTCAGACTGCTTGTAGATTTTACTATAATCATGTATTGCTTCAATGATGTCATTCTCATCAGTTGATACTCCTCCTTTTCTTCCATAACCATGGGAAAGGGATGAAAAAAACCCAAAGTTTTGGTTTCCCCTTTAAAAACAATGCACATCACTTCTTCTCAAAATGAAATGCTTATGGAGCTTATGAAACTTCCAGTTCAGGAACAGGCAGGAAAGTTTTAATACTAAGATTTTTGCAGAGCACTTTTCAGAACCTCTTTCAAACAGATGTAAAAATCATTTCACGCTATGTTCCTATGTGTTTTTCAATAAATGGTTTATTAAGAAACCCTTCTACCTCTCCCTTTTTAATCCCCCCCCCCTTTTTTTTTCCTTGTTCTTCTTTAGACAGAGATGTGACCTACTGCCTATATTTCTGCCTTCTTTTTTGCTGTTAAGTTTCCTTTCCTCAACACTGAGGTTCA